GGGGGGCGGAAGTGGGAGGGGCAGGGGCGGGGCTAGGGCGGGGCTCCTCCCATCCTCTTTTTTGCTTGTTGAAATATGGTAACCCTAGGAAAGTAATTGTAACTTACCCCCTGCACTTGCCTGGGTATAGAACCCAGGAGTCCTGATTCCCAGCCCCACCCCCCCTCTAACCAGCGGACCTCTCTCCCCTCCCAGAGCTGGGGATAGAATCCAAGAGCCTAGCACCACCTCCCCTGGTTCCCCTTCCCCAGCCTCTGCAGCGCCTGACTGGTGTCCCTCCCAAGTGGGTTGCACCAGCAGACGAGTTGTTTCCCAATTGCTTTGCAGAGCCTTGTAGGCATGGGGGAGCCACTCTGGTACCAGCAGAGTCAGCACTAGGCAGAAGATGGAACAATTGCTTAGAGCTCCGAGCAGCTCAAGGGGGCTTAGGGTGACCAGATGTCCCGATTTTATAGGGACAGTCCTGATTTTGGGGTCTTGTTTTTATATAGGATCCTATTACCCCCACCCCATCCCGATTTTTCACACTTGCTGTCTGGTCATCCTCAGGGGGCCCCCTATTTTGTTTTTTAGCATGTGTTTGTATGTGGGGGAAATATGCCTGCTGAGGGCCCCGCCTGGAGACAGAGCAGCTTGGGACACTCCCTGTGAGCACACACACACCACACCACACACACTTCCTTCCTCTGGAAAGTCTTGCCAACCCACCACCCGGACTCTTGGGTTCTACCTCCAGCGATAGGAAAGCAGTGGGGGCTAATGAAGGAGAGTGGGAGGGGGGTGGGGTGGGCGTCAGGACTCCTAGGTTCTTCCCCTGGCTCTGGGAGGGGAGGGGGGTTTTGTGGGTTGTCATGGTTACTTACCAGAAGGCCTCACACTTTGGCCGAGCTCACTGAACTTTTTGGGGGCTCCTCATATTCTCCCAGCCACCTCTCTTGTGGGATCCCCCTGAAGCCCTCCACCCCCTGCCAGGGGCTCTGTATGCCCATTATTCCCTTTCTCCCCTGTGTTCACCAATCCCACATGATCTCTTTCCCACTCCCCTTCCCCCATACAAGAGGACCCCAATCTCCCCCACCTGCCAAGGGTTCTGGGGGCTCCATTTCCCCATCTCCACTCCCATGCCAGGATCAAGTGTACATCCCCATTGCCCCCTTCTCCCCCCCCCCCACCGCCTTCTCTCTCACCATTCTCGGTTGATCGGTTGTTCAGGGTGTCACATGCGATGCCGGGATGAGGGATGGCGGAAGGTGTTCTAGACTGAGCTGACTGAAGCTGCAGGCTCTGCTAACCAGATGCCAGGGGGTCTGTGTGTCCCCCATTTCCCTCCTTCCAGTTTTCTGGTTTTCCCCAAACCCACAGGGCTCTGCCCCCTTGAGACCTGAAACATTCCCTGAAATTTTGGACGTGATCAGATGTGACGTTCAAAGCGCATCATGCCGCAGACAGACACACAGATACCCGGACTCCAATTCTACGTATTCCTGTAGGGCTCAGCCAGGGACCAGCACCCCACTGTGCTAGGGGCTGTACAAACACAGAGCAAAGAGATGTTAGAGCACAGTGCGGGGGGGGGGCTCAGAGTCAGGACTCCTGGGTTCCATCCACTAATCTGGGAGGTGAGTGGGCTTTGGTGGGTTGGAGCAGAGGAGTCTGGGAGCCAGTCCCACAGTCTGGAGGGGCTGGTGCCTAAGGCCCCACCACTGGCCCCACTCTGCATAGGGGAAGCTCTAATGGATGAGTGTTTAACCCCTGCAGTGCTGGCACCAAGCCATGGATTCAGCGTCGACGTGGAGGTGCCCATCACCTTCAAGGAGGCAGCAGTGGGGTTTGGGCAGAGCGTGGTGCAGTTCGGGAGTGCCGGAGCCGGGGGGTAAGGGCCAAACATGGGCTCAAGGCCCTACATGACTTCTGCCCACCCCTGAGGGGACTGTCTGTCTGGGCTGCCCTGCCTGGGCCCCCCCCAAGGGATGATGGGGCACCCCTGAGCCCCTCTTTTCTCTCTCCCACACAGGCTGCTCGTCGGGGCCCCACTACAGATGGGAGAAGTGAATGAAACTGGCAAAGTCTACAAGTGCGACCCAGGCTCCAGACTCTGCCAGGAGATTCCCATTCAGAGTAGGGTCACCCTCTGCTATGGGGTCCAGTGGGGCAGGCTGTGGGGGGAGGGGACTTGGAGCCAGGTCTCCTGGGTTCTATTCCAATTTCTGGGAGCGGAGTGGGGTCTAGTGGTTTAGAGAGGTGTTGTGGGGGGAGGCTCAGAATCAGAATTTGTTCTGTGTCGAACTCCGGGAAGGAAGTGGGGTCTAGTGGGTTAGAACAATGGGGGCTGGGAATCAGGACTCCTGGGTTCCATTTCCATTCAATTGCAGGGGTATGTACAATGACTTCCTCTCCTCCGCCACCTATCTGGGAAGGAGATTGAGTCAGAAGAGCCATGTGGGGGCGGGGGGTGGGGAATGACTCAGAGAAATGATGGGCTAAACATATCCAGCCACAAGATTTCTCAACCTGGTGCTGGCGTGTGTTTCCTCTCAGGGCCCCCGGATGCAGTGCACATGTCCCTCGGATTGTCTCTGGCTGCCCGAGGCTCCAATCTCCTGGTGGGTACCACATCCAGATGGGTTGGGGGGTTCTGGAGTGGCTTGTTTATACCAGGGTATCACCCAGAATTAAGTTCAGTCATTTGCCCAGAATTCCACAGACTGGTCCTCCCCGCAACAATGTTTGTGAGATAGATTGTCAGCGTGGTGATGTCATAGAGTGGGTGATAACCTGGTGACATCACAGCCACCTGAGCACCTGGGGAGCTACCATCACAAAGGAAGATGTGACCGCGGGATGTGAACGCCTGTGCGCTGTCACAGGGAGGTTGATAACTGGGTGACATTTGGAGGGAGGATGGATTGATATTGCAGGAATGGGTGAGGTCACCACAGCTAGAGCAACTGTGTGGTGATGTCATGGTGGGGATGGTAAGTGGGGGACGTCACTCTGACTGGAACTGTGCATTTTCAAAATATTATTTATTGGGTGTATTATGGTAGTGCCCAAGAGCCCCAGTCATGGACTAGGACCCCTTTGTCCTAGGTGCTGTACAAACACAGAACAACAACACGATCCAAGGGTGCTTACAAGCTAAGTTTAAGACGAGACAATGGATAGATACAAGCAGACAGATGGAAGGAGAACAAGGAAACAATGAGATGATATTGGTCGATGTGATCGGCAGTGGTCTCAGCACACCAGTGGCCTCATTGTTGTTAAGTTTTGTTGTAGGCCTCCCGGCAAAGGAGAGCTTGAAGGAGGGTTGTGCAGGAGACAAGGCAGTAGTTTAGTGGCCGTTTCCAGGGAGCTCGTCCCAAGTGTAAGGGGTGGCGCGAGAGACAGCACGAAGGGGCTGGTTGGAAAACATAACAACTGGGCAATGGAGGCCAGCACGAGGGGCCAATCAGAGATGCGACTTGACAGCTCAACACAAACTGAGAGATGATAGGTCGGGGGGACGGAGGGGGAAGAGGCCGATAAGGGCCTAGAAAGGGAAGAGCAGCAGCTCGTGTTTGATATGATAGAGAAGAGGGAGCCAGGGGAGGGCTGCAAACAGAGGGGTGACGTGGTCACAGCAGCATTCTGATGGAGATGAATGGGGCATTGTTGCCATGGCAAGGGGTGAATGGCCTAGGACGTTGTGTAAGGTGGTGGTAGCCAGGGGCCACTAGAATGACTTGTGATGGTGTTGTGAGGGCGACGGTAAGCAAGTGACATCACCACGACTACCATGACTGCGACGATGTTCTGGAGGAATGGGGGTGACCAGACAGTGCAATGAAATAGCAGGGAGGGTGGTAGACTGGTGACATCACCATGGTGACAATAACTGCACAATGACATCACAGGGAGGATAATGACAATGCACAGACATAACAGAGAGAGTGGCAACCCGCTGGGTGATGTTGACATGGCAACAGTGACTGCATGCTGCCATAGCAGGGAGCGTGGGAACCAGGTGATGTCCCCATGTCGCTCCCTTGTCTCATCTCTGGGAGTCCAAGTGCTGGGTCCTGGGGTCCTGTCTGCCCCAAGGGGGTCCCCTGCCCTGGCACGGCCTTTCTTTGCATATCCATGGGGGGGAGCAGGCCCTGGGCTCTCTGCTTCACCCCAGGGTTCTCATCACCTACTGACCCGTCCCTCTCTCATGCCCCAGGTGTGCGGCCCCACGGTGCACCGGGCCTGCGGGGAGAACATGTACATCAAAGGCTACTGCTTCCTCCTGGACCAGAGCCTCCAGCAGCGCCGGCGCATCCCGGACACCCTGGCAGGTGAGGGGCAGCCCCATAAGGAGAAACCAGCACTCAGGGGTCACGGGAAAGTGGAGGGGAGATGGGTCTAGCTGGGTCAATGGGTCTGATATGGGTTGGAATACCAGGCTAGGTGGGCTCATTGGTTTGATTCAGGATGTCAGTAGGAGCTGGAAGTCAGGACTCCTGGGTTCTGTCACAGCTCAGCGAGGCAGGTGGGGTGTATTTTTTTCATCCCAGTGCATGTCATGCTCTTCACTCAGGACCCCTCAGTGGCAGGGATGGGATGATATTGCAACAGAAGGGCCGATTGGTCTGATCCAGAGTTGCAGGGAGGGGGCAGGATACCAGGTTAGATGGACCCATTGGTCTGGTCTAGCTCTTTCTACTGGGTTTTCTCCATGTTTGTGGAGTTGAGTCAGGAGTCGGACGTATTTCTTTCCTGTCCCTGTCAGAGTGCCCTAAACAAGTCACAGACATAGCGTTCCTCATCGACGGCTCGGGCAGCATCGCACCTGTGGACTTTGGAAAAATGAAAACGTTTCTCTCTGAGATCATGAAGCGTTTCCGAAGTGCTGACGCGCAGGTAACGGGCAGAGGCTGAACCCTGACTACGTACCCTGCCCCTCGCAGTCAGTGCTGATCCCAATGCCCCAGTTCGGCGCTAGGGGGCGCTGTGCTGCAGGGAGCAGCACTAGATTTTGCATCCAATACCAGGAAAAAATTCCTGCAGAACCAGCTACATCCCGACCACCTGCCCCAGCCCTTAACTGAGTCTGATTCCTGCTTTTCTTACCCTCCACCCCTGGGGTTGTTTTTCTCTCTTCTCTCCATCTCCTGCAGTTTGCCCTCATGCAGTACTCGCACACATTTACAGAGCATTTCGACTTCTTACAGTACAGAAGGAGTCGCGACCCTGATAGCCTCCTCGGGTCGGTCGAGCAGCTCAGGGGAGCGACGCACACAGCCACTGCAATCCAGAAAGTGGTGTAGGTATTGCCCTCCTCCCCATGCTGATTCCACAGGAAATGGGCTGCAAGGACATACAAGCTAAGGGACAGGGACTCGGGACTCCTGGGTTCTATCCCCAGCTGTGGGAAGGGACTGGGAACTAGTAGGTTAGAGGGCAGGGAAGGGGGACTTGGAGACGGGACTCAAGAGTTCTATTGCCAGCTCTGACCCTCTGTTGCTCTGTGACTTTAAGCAAGTCACGTCCCCGCCCTGTGCCTCAGTTTCCCCATCAGTAAAATGGGGACACTGGCCTCCTTTGTAAAGGACTTTGAGATCGGCAATGCCAAAGCAGTGGACGAGCGCTAGGTGTTGTTACATATCAATAACCCTCCCATGCATTCCCCACCCACCCATTTTCCAGCCGGGAGCTGTTCACCTCTAGGAAAGGAGCTCGGGATGAGGCCACCAAGATTCTCATTGTGATCACAGATGGGGAGAAATCTGGAGACCCGCTTTCTTATTCAGACGCCGTCTCCGAGGCTGAGAGAGCTGGAATCATCCGCTACGCCATCGGGGTGAGCTGCGACTGTGTGGAGAACTAATATGGATTTGAGCCCGTGTCCAGGTTCCCATCAGATAAGGGAGAAGAACTGACCCCCTGGGTTGTAACTGGGTGAACATGTGACATTATAGGAGAGCTGGAGCTCCTCTGTGGTTCAGGTTGAGCAGAGCTTTCAAGTTACAGGTCAGGTTTTCTGACTGCCCTAAGGTCCACATGCTGACTCAGATTGTTTTTGAAATGTGTTATGCCTCATGGGGACTCAGGTTAGGATTAGGTCCAAATTTAGGGTCACTTGAACAAGGGTTTCCTGAGATACAGCCCCCCAGTTAAACAGCAAAATCACCAGTTCTCTTTTGCACACACCTGAATCCCAAAAGTGGCTCTGAACTTCCCCAAACTGATCTCAGTCACTTGATGTTTATCTCTGCTAATGCACAGCACCCACTGCCCCTCTGGGGAAGACGTATTCAACAAATTGTTAATCTTAGGACTGGTCTACACTGGGGGGGGGAATCGATCTAAGGTACGCAACTTCAGCTATGAGAATAGTGTAGCTGAAGTCGACGTATCTTAGATTGATTTAAAATTACTTACTTCGCATCCTCGCGGTGCGGGATCAACGGCCGCCGCTCCCCCGTCGACTCTGCTTCCGCCGCTTGCGGAGCTGGAGGTCCAGAGTCGACGGCAGAGTGATCGGGGATCGATTTATCGCGTCTACACTAGACGCGATAAATCGATCCCCGATAGATTGATTACTACCCACCGATCGAGCGGGTAGTGTAGACGTGGCATCGGACACTGGATGTCACATATCAAACTGCTGAGCCAAAGAGATAGAAATGAGCATCAAGATCTAGGGCTCTTTTGAAGCAAGAGGGTACTTATGTGGCTCAAGGTGACAGCGGGTTGCCATTCACCCTGAATTGGTCCCGTGCCCTGAGGGTTTGATCCCTGCTACTGGCTAATGTTCCTGTCATTCTGCACTGTTTCTTTTTGGATTTTTTTGCCCTGAGATCAAAATTTCCTGGTGAAGAGCCACATTTGAAAGTGCTCTAAAACCCACATGAATGCTCTGAATTTGCGTAAGAGGTGTGGTCAAGGGAATCAGCATTGATTAAACAGACGGCCAATGAAAGACAGTAAAGAAAAATGTAATTGTGTCTCCTGAACAATGGAACTGAGCGTGAACAATGGAAGCTGAGTTATTCCATTAACTTCCTTAGTGCAAAGTTAAGTTTTCCCAGTGTTGTTTCCTGCCCTTCCCGAATGTGGAGAGTGGCTGCACTTAGGCCTCTGAAATCCATGAAATACACAGTTAAGTCAAACACCCTCACAACCTTAACTCTGCCCTCTTTCAGCCATGCCCCAGCACACCAGGAACACGCACAGGCCCTTACAGATGCTACAGAGCACTGGGCGCAGAGCACATGAGCACTAGGGGGCCAGGCCCATCACCTTCCCTTTGCCAAGGCAAAACTCGGGTTTAGAGTCATAGATTCCCAGGCCAGGAGCGACTTTTGCGATGATCTAGTCTGAGCTCCCATGTAGCACAGGCCATAGAACTGCTCCAAATAATCCATGCTGGAACCAGAGCAGATCTTTCAGAAAACCAGCGAGTCTTGAGATAAGGAGGTGCCTGACTCCACTGCTGAACCGATTGCACACAACCCACCCAGACCAGCGCGGTGGTCCCAGCCCTTCACTCCTTGCCCTGAGGCATCCCCCAGAGACATTGCAGCACTCACCCCTCACTACGCCCTGGAGACCTGCAGGGCCCCAGAGCGCTGACAATCCCCATGGCAAGAAGCCCCCTGTGCCCCACTGCTGATACAACCGACACAACTCGGTGCTGAAATGAGGCAGGCTCCATAACTCCAGGCACGAGGGCCCCTCTCCTCACATCACAGTGACACTTGTGCCAACCTGCTCCAGCGGCCCCCCAACCCCCACTCACCAGAGCAGCACATGGCACTGGCTGAGCCGTGCCTCTCGAGGGCCCAGCAGGGCTCAGGGCGGGTGGGTGTTGGTCCAGGGCTCTCGGCTGTGACTGATGCCGATGCCCTGGTCTCCCCTGTACCTCCCTCTGCTCCATGAAGGTCGGCCAGGCCTTCTCCAGTGCTGCTGCCCAACGGGAGCTCCAGGAGATCGCCTCTCAGCCCAGCAACGAGCACGTCTTCCGGGTGGACAATTTCGACGCCCTCCAGGGCATCCAGAACCAGCTGCAGGAGAAGATCTTCGCCATTGAAGGTACCAGAGCCGGGGGAGGGGCCACACTGGCCCTAGGGCTCTAGAAATGGGTTTTCAAGGCCGAGATGGGACGGGGAGCAGCTGGGAATCCAGAGCTCAAATAGGCCCCAAATAGTCTCTCTTTCCCATCCAACATCTATCTACTGATCTATCTCCATATATCCCCCAAATGCCTTTCTCATCCGGGGGCCACCGGGCAGGGGACTGGCTGGCTCCAGGGGTTGAGGAATGGGATACGGGGCCTTCTCTCTAGGGGGCGCTGGATCCAATCCAGCCTCGAGGTGGGGAGAAGGGCTGGCTCAGGGAATGGGACACGGGGTCTTTACCGTCTATGATGGTCTCTCCCGTGTCTGTCTGTCTGTCTCTCCCCCCAGGCACCCAGTCCCAGAGCGGCAGCTCCTTCCAACTGGAGATGTCTCAGGAAGGATTCAGCTCCCTGCTGTCCCCTGTGAGTGATGCCTGGCCCCAGGGCGTCTCCCACGCTGCCGTGCGCTGGGGCCCTGACAGCGCTTTCAAGCTAAGAAGGAGCTGGTTGGCTTAGTGCTTGCAGGGGAGACAACCCTTTACTAGCCCAGAGTGCTGCGGGAGCAGTGCAGGGGACACCCTCCCCTCCCACTCAGGGTGGGCACTAGGGGGGCTCTATGTGCAGCGGGGGCCAGTAGGGGCCCAGTAAGGGGTGCTCACTCCCATGGCCATCAGCACTGACCCCAGTGTCCCAGCACGATGCTAGGGGGCGCTGTGCTGCAGGTTCTGGTCTTGTCTAGTAATTACATTCTGCACTGTGGGTTTCCTGTAATCAGTTCCCTTTGCCGTGTGTGTCGATTTAGGACGGGCCTGTGCTGGGAGCGGTGGGAGCCTATGACTGGTCCGGCGGGATATACCTGTACGGGAGCGGCGGGAAGCCGAGCTTCATCAATGTATCCAGAACCTCCACTGATATGAATGATGCTTACCTCGGTAAGAACAAACCCACCGAGCTTCCCTTACCTATTTAAACAGCCCTCCCCGCCCCGTCACACCCCAGAGGTGGCTGCATCTCAGTTCTGGGAAAGTTCTGTGCAGCACTGTTGTATGGCTGTTTCCCATCTCACCTCCCCACGTCCCTCTCTTCCTTTGAGGTTATTCGTCTCAGGTCATCACAGCCAATGGGCAGAGCAGCTACGTGGTCGGGGCCCCTCGCTACCAACACGCCGGCAAAGTCGTCCTGTTCAGCCGAGATACCAAGGGCGGGGAATGGACACATAGATCGGAGGTGTTGGGAGAACAGGTATGGAGAGCATTACTGGTAATATGGAGTGTGGGTGTGAGAGAGAAGAGGCTGGAGGAAGCCTGTAAGATTTTGACATTGTGTAATATTTGTGTTTGGATCAGGGGCGGCCAAACTTTTTGGCCTGAGGGCCACATCGGGTTTTGGAAATTGTATGGAGGGCCGGTTAGGGGAGGGGGCCATGGCCCGGCCCCCACCCCCTATCCGCCCCCCGGGGACTCCTGACCCATCCAACCCCCTCTGTTCCCTGACGGTCCCCCGAGGACCCCTGCCCCATCCACCTCCCCCCGTTCCCTGTCCCCTGTGTGAAATGGGCAACTGGCTGCTTAGAGTAAGGCAGCCGTGCACATGCCCTGCCCTTGAGGCAGCAACATAAGGAGCTTGTACTGCAAAAATGTCGACACCAAGTCAGGTTAGGCACCTATAGGGGTTAGCAGTAACCATGCACAGGTTTTGTGGATCACAGTGGCACCTAAGTCTGGGGGTTAGGCACATAAGTCCTTTTGTGGATCTGGGCCAGACAGACTCAGGCAAGGAAAAAACGTTGCTAGTGATATTAACAGTGTCTGGAAAGGATCATACTACACTAACAAAGTGAATTTCTCTAAGCTCCAACTGCCTATACGTTCCAGCTGAACAGAATTTATAACTGTGGCTCAGTCAGTGAATAAACTTTACTCGTGCTAGCACAACCTCTAAAAAGAATTGCACCACAATTAGCATTCAGCATCTCTCCAAGATCTAACTGCCTATATATTCAGGAACACTTCCAGTGATAGCGCCACCTGCTGTGCAGCGGGAGGGTGACTCTAAGGATGGAATGAGGATTGGGACTGAATCCTTATCCCCATAGGGTGAGAAGGGTCCCAGTGCGAGAAGAAGGAGGAAGTGACTAAATTGAGGGGGTGACTTATCTGCCTCTCCAGATCGGCTCGTATTTTGGGGGTACACTGTGTGCTGTGGACCTCGACAGAGATGGGAACACAGACCTGGTTCTAATTGGAGCCCCCATGTTCTATACACCCCTGAATGGAGGACGGGTCTATAATTGCCTGATTAACTGGCCGGTAAGAAAGAGGATGGAGCCAGGGGGAAGATGGATGGCCTGGGGTTCTTCTTTGCCTGGACTGCCATGGGGTTGTGATGCTGGGACAATTAGCATGGTAGTAGCAGGTGTGGTGCTCCAGGGAGCAGGGTGGGGGGATCAATAGGGGACGCTCTTCCCTGCCAGTCAGTGCTGGCCCCAATGCCCCAGAGTGGCAACAAGGGGCTCTGTGCTGCAGAGAGAGGGAAAGGGGGTCAGTAGGGGGCACTCTCTGCTGATAGTCAGTGCTGATCCTTTTCCCATGTGTCTCTTTGAATGGGGCCTGCAGGGGATGACACTGAACTGCACCAAGACACTGCAAGGACAGACGGGGCAGGCGTTCGGGCGCTTTGGGGCCAGCATATCTGAAATCGGGGACATCAGCGGGGACGGACAGACGGACGTGGTCATCGGGGCCCCCATGGAGAACAGCAATCGTGGGGCCTTGTACATCTTCCATGGGGGAAAGGGAGGCTTCAGTCCCCAGTACAGACAGGTGAGCCCAGCTCCTGCGCGGAGGGGTCACCACAGATCCTGAAAGAGACATCATGGGACCCCATGGTCCCCTAGTGCCTATTAGCCTGTAGCAGCTACTTTCCCATCCCTCACCCTCTGCTGCCCCCTAGTGCCCATTATACAGTACAGCCGCCCCTTCCCCATCCCTCACTGCTCTCTCTGCCCCACAGCGCATCGAGGGGTCGCTGTTTCCCAGCAGGCTGCACTACTTTGGCCAGGCTGTCAGTGGCGGGACAGACCTGACGGGGGACGGACTCCCAGACATCGCGGTGGGGGCACAAGGGCAGGTCCTGCTGCTGAGGTGAGTTACTCTGTGTCATTTCACTGCTCCACATGGCAGTCGTAGACAGCGACAATACATGGGGGTTTGGGAGCATGTGTGTGTCACTGCTGCCCCCTGCTGGAGAATGGCACAATGACAGCTCTGCTGCTCCCTTCTCTGTCCCCCAGCATCTCCTCTAGCAGAGCTGCGTGTCCATAACCCATCTCCCTGGGGTGCTGTGAGCACATCCAGGCTGGGTGGGAGGCTCTGGAGGGGAAGGAGGCCTGGCCCCATTGCAGGGAGCAGCTGGGTGATGGTTCTGTTCCTCCCATGGCAGGTCCCGGCCGGTGCTCAGAGTCGGGGTCTCCATCAGCTTCCAGCCCCCAACAATCCCCACCTCGGCCTTCGACTGCCAGGAGCAGGAGCAGCTCAACACGAAGGCCAGCAGTGCAAATGTCTGCTTCACGGTCACTAAGAGCACCATGGACAGCCTAGGTCAGACCAAACCCACCCCCCCGAGCCAGTCAGTCCCCTGCCCTGGGGTTGGATTGGAACCAACGCCCTCTGGGGGGAAAGGCCCCATGTCTCATTCCCCACCCCCATGAGCCAGCTAGTGCCCCATCCTGTAACTGGATTGGAGCCAGTGCCCCCTAGAGGGGGAAAAACGTAATCCATTTCCACCTCTTGACCCAGCCAGTCCCTCTGCCCTATGGCTGGATTAGAGGTGGTGCCCCGTAGAGGGGAAAGCCTCGCATTCCATTCCCACCTCCTGAGCCAGCCAGTCCCAGCCCTGGGGCCAGATTAGAGCTGGTGCCCCCCTAGAGGGGAAAGGCCCCATGTTCTGTATCCCATTAATGATCCTGCTCTCTGTCTCTCTGACCCTCATTTCTCCTCTGTGGTAGGCAATGGGATCTCCAGCACCATTCATTACAGCCTGTCCCTGGACCCCTGGCGGACGAAGATCCGAGCCGCCTTTGACTCCACCGGCTCCGTCCTGAGCAGGGAGCTGCGGCTCGGCATTGAGAAGAAATGTGAGACGTATCAGATAAAGTTACCTGTGAGTGCTGGGGTCCTAACTCCTTCCCCTCCTGCTGTGTCTGCCCCTCCAACCCTGCCCCTTGCTCCCAAATCACCCAGATAACAAACCTCTGTATAGATCCCACCTTTGCTCATGGGTCCCTACGTGTCTCTCTGTCTCCCCAGCTCTGCCCTGAGGACACACTGACCCCCATCACCCTGCGCCTCAACTACACCCTGACGGGGGAGCCCATCGCTGCTGCCGGCGACCTCAGACCCATCCTGAGTGAGGACTCCGCGCTGGTGTCTGCAGGCTCGGTAAGGCCTCCGGAGCCAGGCAGTGGTGACTGTCTGCAGAGGTTTTAGTGTGTGTGCTTTTGGTTACAGTGCCTGTGCAGACTGTATCA